TATATATATATATATAGTGTTAATATAAAGCTATCATAATACAAACTTTGTAGGAAATTCTCACTTGGCTTGAGTGTCTGATATCACGTTTTTTGTAAAACTATTTTCACGTTTCTTTTTGTGTAGCTTGTAAATTTCCATTCGTGGGGAAAGCGTGTTGTTGATAAGGTAGTTTTGTACTTACGGGCGCATACGTGATTAACTCCTTTATCTTGTAAGGGATTAAGCCTGAGATCCAAATGCTTCAGAGACGTCGACTTCATTTTCAGTATTCCGTAAATAACACCCGCCAATCCTCCCGGTCCTATGTTGTTATTCGCCAAATGTAGAGTCTTCAGTCTCTGATGCATCGATAGAAACTCGCCCACCGCGTGTGCACCTGTGTCCATCAACTTGCAATGCGACAGATCCAATTCCTCGAGCTGCACCCGAGATAGTTGTGAATATAACGTAGTGACCGAAACGACGCGACGGAAAAAAAAAAAAACGTCGACACGAGTGAACTTTAACAGTAATGATTTTAAATCTGACCAAATTTTAAGCTTTTAAGGCTCTCGTTTTCTTACTTCGGCCATCTTGACATTAATGAGAAAACTTATGCTTAAAATTCTTGCGATAGTCGTATAGATTTTTTAATGGAACAGTTACTCAACAGCAAAATGATATTCTCTGAATGCTTATCATAAAGATTTTTGCATCCGTCTTCATTGAAAAAGATTTCTAATAATAACATCATATACAATATTTTATTGTTCACCGTCTTAGTGCTTATAATCACCAAAATAAACGGTATTCTGTAAACGCTAAGACATTAAATGATCTTTGTCGAAAACAATCTTTTTGCCGATCATGAATATTTTCCTCTAGTGCAATCTCGTGAAGAGTAAACAATACTAAATGTTTTCTAGTTCGTTTTACTTTTCACGAGTTTACGTTAGAGGAAAAGATTTATGACTCACCTTTTACGATTATATCATTTTTCTCTCGGAACGTAATCGTGAAAGTAAACAATTTCGCGTGAACTCGATGATTTTAACGATCATGTAACTTTCCAAACCATAGAATTGTGGAATTTTTCATATAATACTGCAGATAAAATGATGCCATACCTTTATCTTGGGATGATTATATGATTTCATCTAGATAATGTAATTTTATCTAGATGAGAGTAAACACATCAAGAGAGAGAGAGAGAGAGAGAGTTTTCCAACTAACGTTACAGTTTGATGTTATTCCTTGAAAAATCGCGGCGACTCGTTGTCGGTCCAAGTTGCTGCGAGTTAAACTGAATTTTCTCAGCTTCGGGTTAGCCTTAATTCCTTTCCCAAGACTCATGCAATCCTCTACCGAGAACCTAAATCGTGCGATTAAATTTCATCTTATCAAGCGTTCGAAAGCTCTTTATTCTCGCCATTCGCCAAACTTCCCACTTACTCGAAATCCCGCCATTCGAAACCGTCGTTTATGTAGATCATACCGAAGTTGAGGTAAATTTCGGCAAGATGCGGCAACTGTGGAAGTATTACTGCCATGGGAATATGATGCGTTGCTTCTTCTTCTTCTGGAACCGGCTCGTCGTTCTCCGCTCCGACAGTTCGTTTCGATTGCTTTCTGTTACATTCGAGTTACACTTATTAGAAAGTGCTTCGACGATAAGCCGTTTTCATTTATCGTCAAATAACTGCGCTTACACTATCACGAGAGGAAGAGAGAGAGAGAGAGAGACGAGTCGGTAGAATTATTTTTCTTTATTGGATAATAAACGCCCGGTAGATGAATTTACGATGGATTTCAGTGGAAACTTAACTTCGAGGTATTTACAAGAAAGTTTTAAAGATCATGTCTTTCGAGTGCCTTTTCAAGTTGGACTTTCCAAAGTTTCAAGTGTTTTATTCACTAGCTTCTTCGTGGACGACAATCAATTACGAATATGTACAACTCCGTTACGTCGAAGTTTACGTCGCCTCGCATTATTTTGTTCCGCTTATAAGAGAAAACGCGTCGCGTCGATAAGAAAAAGCCTCGTTAGCTCGTTTCGCGTATCATCAGGGAGACGCGTCAGAGGGATTCCGGAATTGTTAATAATAGTTCTGTTTTGAAACACGTACTAGTATAAAATAAGCCGATTTCAGTTATCTAAAGTTCTGGACAACCGACGCATCTCTTATCACCAAAATGATCTACGCCCCCTCTCTCTCTCTCTTTCTGGCCAATTATAGAACTTTGGCTGCCACATTTCCGCGCGATATTTACGTCAGAGTCCATCGCACTCTCGGATCTTCAAGTGCAAGCACTTACAGCTTTAGCCCTAAACTGACCGGCTCTAATAATAATTTTCGGGTGTTCTCCGCCGTACGTAAATAGTACGAATTTTGGCGCATGAGGAAATGCAAGGTCTGCGCGCGATTATCTATCATTGAATGCGATTATAAACAAACTCATTTTTAGTCAGCAGGTACATTTTTGCAAATTTTCTTTTGTCTGTACTTCGATAACATAGATCGACAAATTTCATATTATATAAATACTTTTTGAATTTTAATCTTTCTATTTATATGATTATGTTATTGAGATAAATTTTTGAATTTTTGAATTTTAATCTTTTCTATTTATATGATTATGTTATTGAGATAAATAATGACAGTAAAAAAGTAATTTGACTATAGTTCAAGAAATACAGGCTGTATTTCAATTTTTTTAAATCGAAACGTAGGATTTAGCGGTCTTACTTGGTCGGCACGAGGGAACGAAGTCTTATTACGTGCACGTGGTTCTTCACGAGAGCTATCAGCTTTTCGCACTCCTCTCTCCGAGTCTCGAAGTAGCTAGCTTCCAAAGTTTCCAGGTATTCGGCTAAGTGTCGTTCGCAATATAACCGCTGCCACGAACCATCATGCTCAGCCGGATCGTTGTGCTCCCACCTGTGAAGATAATGGCCTCATATCTTCGAACGTAATCATTCGTATCCGTTGTAATGCAAACGTGTAGCGTGAACTACGTAGTGATACGATTGCGTAGCGGTGCCTCACGTAATCAGATCGATTAATGTACGCAATTCGAGTTTTGTCGAAATTTCTTTGAGATGGCGTCACAATCTATTTGGTGACGTAACATCTGGAAAGGCATTCAAATTTTCCTAGGTCAAAGTTCAGCTAGAAGTGATCGCTCACTTTCGTCGTTTGAAGCGAACGGTTTAGTAGTTCTCACAAAAATAGAAAAAAAGCAACGATTTCCGTACGGTGATAAAACATTTTTACTTAAAGAAGTGGACAGCCTACTTTTCCGATGGTATTAAAAAAATTGAAAACTCGCTGGATCAAGTGTATCGCCTTTAATGCAGACTATAATTTGAGAAATAAAGGCGATTTAAAAAAAAAGAAAAATGTTTTACTTGCCTTTTTACCAGATTTATCAAACAACCCTCGTGATCCCTTACCTAGCCTTAGCCGCCCGTTCCCAATAAAAATCATCGTCGATCCTCCTTATCGTTAGCTCGAAGGGAAGATCGGTCGGCAGTATCGCCGCTAGCACGTTCTTGTCTATGTGTGTCGGTAGATCCTCCAAAATAGGATTATCCTTCCACATCGACACTACAGCACGAAGCGCGAGGGTCTTCAAATCGGGGATTACATTGTCATCCCATGAAGTCTGCTCCGCTCTTCTTCCTTGTTCCCGTGGTGGTAGTAATGTAGCTGCCGAGCATCTGTGTGCCGTAATTCGCAAGGATAAATGTATATAAATATTTAACGAGCGCAAGTTCTCGTTGTCCGATCGAACTGAAATTTGGCAGGGATTATTTTGTTGTAGTTTGGAACGGGTGTCGCGGAAAGAATTCGAAAAAAAATTTTGACCAAGAGTAAATAAGGATCATACTGGTGCATATTCATAATTACGATATATTCATAAATACGACGGTCTTTATTCGTGCACGAATAATATTCATTCGTGAGGATCTCTACCTATAAGCTGTCGCAGCATTCTTCGATATTGTGTGTGGAATCCTCATCCTTCAAGTCGGTTTCCCTAAGATGAAAGATACAAATTACTGTAACTGTATCATACTGTATTTCAGAGAATATACCGTGACTGTATTTTATGAGAAGCTTCTGGCATAATAATATTAGGAGCTTGCAAAAATTCATCGGATTTTTAATCATATTATAAATAACAAAAGAGTACATCTGCTCAATCAAAGTATTTCCCATCGTTATCCTCTGCTTTTTGCCACTTTTTAATTAATCTGATTCCATGTCTGTAAAATGAATAAACTTTTAAGTTAATGAAATCATCCGACAAACTTTGTTACTACTTCATTTCGCTCCTTTTTTAGGAGAAAGGGATTGACTCTAAAATAATACAACTTCATATGTTGGGGCTATTGTACTGGTCTGCTTATACTAATATATTAGTATACGTTGTATATTCTCTCTCGACTGGCCAACTAACATCGGTCATTCTAATCCGAATAAAATTGAGCAAATAATCGATCGAAATACGGTATCACTGATTTTTTCGTCGACAAAGCCCTTACAAAACTAAGATAGACGTGAAGAAAGATATGTTTTTCTTTTTTTCTAGGAGTGTCCCGAAGGAGTAGTGCACGAGGACTCGTTCAAGGACATTTATGCGAAATTCTTCCCACACGGCAGTGAGTTCCAATTAAATAACAATCCGCGTTTTTGCGTAATTAGTTAATGGCCACTCCTCATGCGAATTGCAGACTCCAGTCTCTACGCCCACTACGTGTTCAAGGCCTTCGACGTTAATTGCAACGGGGCCATCAGCTTCAGGGTAATCTCTAATTAAGTCTCTCATGTAATGTAGTCCTTTCATTAATATTAAATTAATGGCCCGGCAAACATACAATACACTTGACGGCGCGTGTCCCGTCGGTCGTTCTTCTCATCGTCTTCTTCGACTCTCCTCAGTCAATTTTTTTATGTTATCAATGTGTGTGATCAATGAGCCAGTTCAAAATCTAAATTATCGGCTTCCTGCAATTTCTGTTTAATTGAGATACGCGTTTCTTTTCCCGGAGATAATTTGAAGTCGCGTCAACTCAAAGTTGGTCAAGAATTACAAATATCGAGGAAATTGTGTATTCAATGTATGAAACTGTGAGTGTATTAGGTGTACAACTTAATTCTCGGCCCCTACATTTAATTAACTACAGCACCTATTCCAATTTCTTTCCTGCCGTGCAGTCATTTTAAAGCGTCACCCTTCAGCTTTCAGGCGAGGTATATTAGTTGCTGCTGATATACTCTCGAAAAACAGTAGCGATGTCGTTCGAAAAGCAGCACTGTCTTCTTTTCGCTTTTCAACTGAAGAGAAATATCGCTAAAGCTAAAGGAGTGATTTACTCGGCCTTAGGTAAAAATGCTGTGTCTTATGTAAAAAGTGGTTTGAAAAGTTTCGGGATGACAATCTCCATGAACGCCCTAGACAATCGAAGAATATTTTACAAATGTCATTTTATGGATGTATTCAGCGAGAAATGAAGTCGACGTCGACAACTTGACGTTGATTCGATGTATATTTCTGCCTTTTTATTTTAACGTACTTTGCAAGAAATTAGGCCAAGCGTTTTCTCGCTTCATCCAATTAGATGATTTTAGCGAGAGAGCAGGATGCGAAGACGTGGTAAATACATTATTTTAACAATTTTATGAAAAGTCTTTGGAATTGTAAGTCTTTTTAGATATCTTTCACAATGTTGTGTGGAGAATACGATAGTATGCCTATATAGCATGCTAAATAGAATATCCTTCAATCTTGCCTTCAAATCTCTCAAGAAAATACATAAATCTATGTACGTAAGTCTGAAACATGCGGTTGCTTTTCATCGTTGATATCTGCCAACACGTCAGGTGCGATCGTGAATGAACACGTTAAAACACATCATTCGGAATTTCGTTGTTACATCTTACTGCGCGTCGAATGATGTCGAAACAGACAATCTCGGTGATTACAGGACCTCCTTGTGACACTGTCGACTCTGCTGCGTGGCAGCATTTACGAGAAATTGAGGTGGACTTTCAAGCTGTACGATATAAATGGCGACGGCTGCATCACCAGGAGCGAGCTGGGCGAAGTAGTGACGGCGGTTCACGAGCTCATGGGTAGGCGGCATCACGCCGAGGAAGAGCGAAAGGCGAGGGAACAGCTGGACAGGGTTTTCAAGAAACTCGATCTCAACCAGGACGGTGTTATCACGATCGAGGAATTTATCGAGAGTTGTTTGAAGGTACGTTTCCCCACCTGGCCGTGAAACAACGATCGAAAATGTGTCTCCACCACATCTTTCTCGAGATCGACTTTTCGTGGAGAGAGAAACCGATACTTCTCTCTGACACTTTTTTCTCTCGATAACTTAGCCAAATTGATCTCTAAATTTTTTTATTTACCTCTCCAGAATATATCCTAGATATTTGTCGGTTTTTTCGCGGAGCACCCTATACATTTCCTTTCCTTGGTAAATGAATGCCAAGTTACATATACAAAATGTTCCAGATCTGCCGGGTGTCTCTTCTCAACTATAGCTTCCTTAATTAGTTTTAAAGTCATCCTTCCTCCGCGAAAATTAAGTTCATCATTTTCCATGTTAAGTAGGAACACTAGATAATTAACTCTCATTTTCATTGCAAGTCCCTTTCTGAGAGATACAATCTCGCTATTTATTTGCAGTTTCGATGAGATCCTTATCAGTATTCGAGTTATCTCCGTAATGAGGTCTCCGTTTATTTTCCTGATCAGTTAAAATACTGGCCGCTGAAATATTTTGGGATTCGCGACACACGCGGGCGAGTGTTGTGAAATGCATACGACGTTCGTTAATACAAAAATAAGGAGATTAATCGATGTTTACGCGGCGAACTTGTTTTCGTGCCGAAAATGACTCACTGAGCGGTTTGTGAGCAATCGCAGCTGAGCAATCAAATGAGAAAATACACGAGGCTAATTCCTATATGAATTTCCACACATTATATGAATTCATATAAGCTCCATTGAATTTACCTTGTTCAACGGAGTCAGTTCTATGTCAATTGTTCATTTCGCACAGGACGAAGTGATCACACGATCGCTGGCGATGTTCGACTGTGCGCTTTGATCTCCGGCTAAGGACGAGCCTCCAGCGGTCACCGCGACGTCGCCGACGCCACTCTCGACGACGACATTCTCGCAATCCCTGTCTCCGTCGCCGCCGCCGCCGTCTTACTCCCTGCTACCGCCTATCCCGCCGCCCCTGCCCTCGCAACCGCCACCCGGATATACCGTCCAGGATCAGGAGCTCTATCTGCTGCTAGCCGCTCACTGGTGGAATCAACCCGAGGCGCCGCTTTTCTGCTGAGGGTAAGTAGTCTCTCGCGCTTTAAATTCGAGGATATTGGAATAGCTGAGGAGGCGCATCTTATATTGTACTTATTTGTCAGTAAGGCAGGCGATAATCTCCCTTTCTACACTACTAATTTCTCCCAACATACCACGTATTGATAATAACACGGCTCCTCTCGTAACTTTAAAGGGGAGTTACATCGATCCTTCGCTGAAGATTCCACCGAATCGTTTGAAGTTACGAGAGGAATAGGATTATGTGACATACGTCATATATTGAAAGAAATTGGAAATTATCACCTTACTAATAAATAAGTATTGAAAGTTGGTCATTTGATGAACTTCATATTTTTAATATAAAAAGTTTCTCTATTACATATATATGTATATATATAAATATACACATTCATTTATAAAACAATAAACGTGTAATATTTAATAATTTTTAATTTCCTCCCTTTATCTCCTTCTCCCATATGCATTTTGGACACTTCAATTTGTTGACATTCGATCAAATATTCCACCGGATTTGTCTATTTCACCGGAAACGGATATATCGGATCAAGTTCTTCATCGCATATATCCGTTTGTTACCTCATAAGGGAGTATTCTTGTTTAAAGGGATCGAAATTTCGTTATTGCATATTCTTCAAGTTTAGGCTCTTGAAAATGTACTCCTAAAATATTCAAGCAAAATTAGAACTTTGAAGGACGCAGTGCCCAAATATATACGTGCCGGTTCGACACTTTAGGTGCGTCAGGGCGCTCGCAGACGATATGTATCTTCTTTTTTCCTACGTTTCGCAAGTAGAGATATGGTGGTCGCCATGTTGGGACGCTGCGTGAAATAATAATAAAATTCGTTGAATTGGACCTTTGCTCCAAAACATTTGCATTGTGACACCGAGACTATCAAAGTAGCAACGTTTTTAGCATTTTCAACGAAGGATACCAATCTATACTGTAAATCATAGAAGTCATGGGAATAACCACCGGCCAGCAGGTGAAAATCTTCAAACGCAAACGCCAGAGACGAGGAGCACATCGAAAGATCTGGCAGACGAGCGTCTGAGGGCATGAAAAGCAGAGAGGAAACTATTGCTCTGTGCAAGTTTTTGGAGCTTGAGAAAGGTCCCCTTTATGGTCCTGGTATAGCGGATTAAAGTTAAGTGCCATAAATTAGTTGTTATTCACTTGTAAAGTGCGTTTTTCTTTTGAAAACGATGCTTTTAAAATTGGCGGCACACTTTTCTCAGAAACTATCGATTGCCTCGCGCTTTTAATCTCATGTAAAGCACAAGTCTGCTTCTATCTGGTAGCAGATTTAAGTCCATATAGCCAATATTTTACTTTTCACGGCTCGTCAAACTTGAAAAATGTATGCTAAATTCGAATTTCAATCTTTCAAGGTTCGCCGTTTTGTTAATAATTATTTTACGCTTTTTTTTCATATAGATAATATAAAAAATAATTTGATTCGTTTGTTTCAGATGATTAGGAGGGGCGCAATCAATGTCGTCAATTAGACAGATCTTTTGCAATATGAAATGCGCTGCGATCTATATAACTCTTAAAATATTAAACAAATTGACATGATACTGATGTAAAAATTTCTTAAAATATCAATAGAAATGTACAACAAAAAAATTAAACTCTATAAACTTCATAGTTTTATTCCATAGAATCACCTCAGAAATGCTCATCTAGACGAGAATACCCCCTTATATAATTGGATTATTCGATCAGATATACAATCAGACATTTTTCTCAGTATGTCGACAGATCCATAAACGTCCGCTCGTGTTTTTTGTCAATAGAGCCTGCTGACACGATTTGACGGCAGAAACCGGCCAAACTGCGCGCGGCAAAGTTTGTTCAGTTTCGGCCGTCGATCTGCTGTCAGATCGCTACATCTGCTGATATAGCGTATGAACAGGCTCTGTTCATATTCCAGATTTCTGGCAGCGATTTCGGCAATATCGTCTGATAAAACAGATTCTGTGTTAAATTTATTGCCTCTCTGCCATCAAAAATTTTTCGCAGCATCTGCACAGAATCTGCTTATGCAGGTTTGGTTTTCTGCTATAGCGCTGGATATTACGCGCGCATATGTGTTTACTTGTAAATACCTGAAGTTTTTCCGTATGTTTTGTTCAGTAGTAGTGTAAAATGAAAATCTGAAAAGTACTTGAGAAAGTATTAGGGGTGACCAAATAAAACCTGTTTATGTTCTCCACTTCGAATCTTATGTTTAAAACATTACATTTTTAACCAGAACCCACGTAGACCACCTCCCAACTAGAATTCTCTGGATTATTTTGGGAAATTGAAATGGACTTCAATTAGATCCCAAGAAATGCGATTGACCATTGGATGCTTCTTTGTAATAATAATAATAATAATAATAATAATACAGTGATTGCCTTTTAGAAAGTAATGGTAGCCTCCTACAGAAGTTCTCCGAAATTGATTCGTTTGTTCAAATTTCAAGAGATTTTGTTATTTCTCTTTCAGGGCAACACGATAACACGAGGACACGATGCGCAAGTTGTCGTCCTTATCCTCGCCGACCGACGGAGCTTGGCTATTGGAGGCCCAGCCGTTTTGAGAACAACATACAGAATATCGCGGTATCACTGCTTCGCCATCGTTGGGATTTCAATTTTACGGCGAATTGCGATGATCCTGCAATATTTCCATGAGGACCGACAATTGGAATCGATTTCTGACAGAAATCAAGTAGCAGAGTTACACAATTCGACGTCGAGTGTTCGGTTTAACGTTATTGATAAGCGAGACAAGTGTACCTGCAGTTTCTACTGCGATCTCCCGAGGAAACACAACGTTTAACGAGAAGAAACGAGAAGGCAGTATCGGTCTCAATGAGCACGAATGAAATTTCGTCGTGAGGGAAAATCGAAATATCAGGTTATCAAACTGGGTTTGTATCGGGTAATGTCGAGGAAATCCTGAAACGACGACAACGATGACGTCGACGATAAGAATAACGGGAAACGGCGAAAGAAAAAGTGTGCGGATGTGAGTAAGAGTCGTTGCGCGAAAACGAGAATTCCACACGAGATGGGATATTCTGATTTAATCTCTATGATCCTAATTTACTCATGACCGTCAGAGATTGATAGGATATTCGGGGATTGTCGCAACCACTATCACAAAGACGATATTCTAAGCAAACCGACATATTTCTCTGTGGAAGTTATGCGTTTTCTTTTACGATAACGTATCCGTTTGTTCTTTCTTTTCGCGACCGTGAAGTAAAAAAAAGAAAAAGAAAAATAGTGTTCGTATTGATGCGGAATTGATGAATTTAATAGGCTGTTTTGCCTGGAGAAATTTATCGACTTGTTATACACACTTGTTACCGTGTAGTCGTATATTTATCTATCTACGCGTACAATTACAATCATTTCCAAAAGAAGGTAACTTGTAATGGTCATTCTTTCGTTTAAGGATCCCCACCTTCTGTACGACATCGTTGCACTCGCCAATTTTATTCTATTTCTCGCAATTAACGGTAGTTAGTATTACGATCGCGTGACTATGTACACAGTTTATCCCAGTGAAAAAGTGACTGCTGTCATGACACAACACAAGGCGTTATGTTTTGTTTTTATTATTCAAAATGGACCATTTGTGAGTCGATATAAAAGAAAAGAAAACGATCGTCAAACTTTTTTAAGCAGTCCTTAAAGTCCTCCGCCGGAATCGTCTTTAGAAACTCTGTCCCGAATCATAATGTGATTCTTTCATAGCTAACTTTAGGAACTCTAGTCACAGGGAGCTAAATCAGACGGGGGGAGGGGAAGGGGGTTACGGCGAATAATCGCAATGCTTTTTTTAGCCGTACAATTTTGGTTTTGTCAGTATTTCTTTCCCAAATCTTCCGTTAAAATGCGACGGACGGTAATCTTAAGAATGCCAATGACAAGCAGCAAGATAGGTTCGAAGAATTTTGCTCACTCTTTTTTTCATTTCGAATTATTTTTTACGCGCCCGGCCGTTTTTAACGCTCTTCCTGACAAAGTTACAAAATCTTGCCAACCATTTTAAGACACTCATGGCTTCATTGGCAAAAAACAATTTATTTTATACGTTTCAATAGCAGTTTTTAAACAAAACTTAATATTTGCGCGTTGTTCCATCCTGTTTTTTCGATACAAAGTCACATTTCATGTCATCACTCACGAACCAAACATGTTAACACCTTGAAATTGTTGCTGGTGATAGCTAAAATGTGTCGTTACGTAACGCATGTGTTGATTCAGAAATGCAGGCGCTGCAGGCAGCGTGGAAATAGGTCATCTTTTCACTGGGACATACTGTGTATGTTGTGAGTATTAACAGCAAAGCACGTTGAAGATTATACTCGTTTCAACGCGTCGATTTCTTCGATTACATTGTCAGCCGATCGTTGACGATCGTAGATATCACGCATATATGTTTTCGTTGATAGGTCCGTGTAGCTTTATAGATTGATACTTTGTTGTACTTTTCAAAAATCGATTGTTGCTAACGCAGAACACTCGATATTCATCAGCGATCCTCGTGCCCCCTCTCCCCCCACGCGCGTTTTGTCAATAATATATCAATATTTTATTATGTCCAATTTTTATGACGACTTCTAATAAAAAGTTGCCAGCATACACCGTTTACTTTATCAATACAATGCGCGATAATGTTGATTAATATTCCGGCTGCTAATACGAGAAATATTTTGCGTTTTATCAGGCGAGTTTCTTTAATATACAAATTCAGATACAGATTCTTCAAGGAACACACAGTGTGTGTCCAATTAAGTGTTGTCCAATATTTTAGAGGTTAATTTTCAGGTCGTTTTATGGAGAGAAATTCACATGAACATATGATTTTAAAGGCTTTGTTTTTGATACAGAATGTTAGAAAAATTCTCTAAAATTATCGTTTTTTATTAATGGCACTTGAACGAAAAGAAGTTCTCTTCAAACTTGAATCAGTAAATAGGCGGATTATTATATTCATTTTTTTACCTATAGACGCTGTTTTATAAAAAGTCTATGATATAGAAACAGTGTTTAGATAGTATATTACTCTCCCAGATATGTGCGCCAGTGGACGGAGTCACATTTTTTTTATAAATTTTAATTATTTAATTAATTATTTACAAAAAGTAGATTCTTGATAGATTTCGGTTAACTTATTAGTTTTCAAGATATTTATGAAATGTTAAGAAAAAACGATATTTTCATAGAATTTTTAACACCCGCCGTCTCTAAAACGTGGCCTCTGAGACCACATGTTTATAAAATGATTTCAAAAATCAGCTCCTAGAATATTGGACAATATTTAGGAAAACATCCTGCATGTGTGTGTATGTGTGCCTGCGTGCATGCGCGTGTGTGTGTGTGTGTACATAATACATTTTTTTTCAACGATAAATCTTTCGTATTACTTTCATTATCAGACACTCAATCGTATCATCGATATCGAAATACCGGTGACAAATATTGTCTGATCGTTTGCCTGCTCCTTAAATGTTTGTAGCGTATACATGTGTAATGTATGTGGATGAAGATTTTGTAATATACGTCGTGTTAATATGAATCGTGTGAACGAGCATATGTCAGACTGACGAAAGAACAACTTGAGAGTGGAGACAAAGAGAGGGAAGGAGGAAGGGAGAGGGGGAGATAGAAAGAGAGAGTGTGTGCGTGCATGCATGTGTGTGTGAGAGAGAGGGAAAGAAGGGGGAGGGAGAGAGAGAGAAATATTAATTATCAAAATTAATGACAATGAAACACCAAGCTACCATAGTTAGCTGATACTTATAAGCATAAACGGAAGTAATAATAATGAATTATAGTTTTACGTAGGATAATCGAAGTCATCGCACGTATCGTCGGACAACTCTCACGGCGTTCACGATATCAGTATTCGGGAGAAAAATCTTTTAATTCTTCCTAGAGAATACCGTCAATGCGCATACATACACACGCACGCCTCCAATCATAGTCTCCAAGACTTACCTCTTTTCAAGTATCGTTTGTCTCCGTTAGTTCGCATCAGACCGGATCGCTCGCGATCAAGCTCATCGGGTTTATAAAACGCATTAATCGCCCGGATTTTCCCTTCGAGGAGAAAAACACCGTCGTCACCGAACGAACACCTCTGTCATGGTGGCGCGGGGATCAAGAAATTAACACGCGCGTTGCTAAGACTACAACCGCGAGCGTTCCTATAACAACGAGTAATAATGACGAAATCACAATTCTCTCCGCCAAGATTGAATAACGTGCGTATCGAGCGGATCTATATAAGATGTAGGCTCGTGTGTGTGTGTATGTTGCGAGTCGTCAAAAATCGAGCGTCTTTACGAATATTTCTCTTATATTCTTGGAGACATGATGAAAACATACTGAAATATCTCCAACAGACGAATGCGATGAAACGTAATTTCTACTCTCTTTCTCCACGAAGTGATTATTGTACCATAAATATCGGTGCACTTGAACGCGAGTACTGGTTTTTTATAGAGAAAAACATCTATATCTCCGTTAGACATCCAGCAGAAAGTAAAGAAATTATTGAAGAAATTATCGAATCAAATTCGGATTAAAGATGTCCGGTTATTAATTTGCAAACACTTGCAGCGAGTTGTGGGAATTACTAACAGAAGAAACATTCTACTCGAACAATCTGTCCAACCAGCGACGAGTATTAATTTGTGCCCGAGTGAAAATGATATTAACGCATAAAGTGCGTGAATCCGAGTGGTTTTGATCCCGAAAACTTAATTTGCTATAAATGTTGTCGCGTTAATTGCCGGTATGCAAAATCAGAGAATGTATAATCAAGTGAAGAAATCCATTAACGAGACTACACAATCGACGGTGCGACAAAACCGCCGTGACCAAGATCCCGGGATAGCTATTAAGCCATTGGCAAAGAGTCTTTGTTCCTTAGGATGTACGAACATATTTTAATATTAGAGTGACCGTTTCATTTCGAACGAAGCAATGCGGCTTAGATAAGGTCACATCGATTGCTCTAGCTTGAATCCAAGCAGCATATATTGCTTGATCAACGATTAACCGGAAACATCGGTAGTTGGAAAACAATGTTGGATCGATATTATTAAAATGTTGCAATCCGATGAGTCGTTAGATTAGAACATTTCTTTCTTTTTCATACGAAAAACATTGTGTTTCCTTGAACTGCTTTGAAAGAGCCAGCAGTATTTTTAATCATTTTAATTGATAAATTAACCGACTGACGACGTAAAACCAATCATAATGAAGTTGGGTCAAGCAATGAATAATTTTTTTCAAACATGATACTGGGCACGATTCTAGGATTTTATCCCACTTTGCGCCTTTTTGTCAACATATGAACATTGGGTAATTGACATAGACCCAATATAAGACTAATGTTTATGCGCTACTCGGGGAAAAGTATCGGTACATTTATTATATATATATATATATATATCTCATCCTGCGCGTAAATTTATATATAGCGTTAACCACGGAGGTAATCAAACCTCCTTCGGGAAATATCACACCACATGTGTCGAATCTGCCAGCATGTTGATCAGCGTGCGTCTCAATGTGCGTCATGAAAATTAATACGCGAACTCCACGCGTGAAATCCTTAGCCAAGAACTTTTTCGAACAGATTTTTGCTACATTTTCGTGCCGGAGAAATGCCTGAATTTGTACGGGACATCGCGACGACACCTTCCTTTGCTTTTGTCGCGATGGATGGACCTGATACTCTATGCGCATAACTTGTACAAACGCGAAATAATATATTTTTTACAAAACTTTTGTTTATCCCTTTGCAAACCGCCAACTATTTTTGGGCTTCTATGCGATAATGTTAACCGATAAATGCCCATTTATGGCGATAAATGTTCATTTGTCGGTACGCGATGTAAAACGACAAAGAAAGATACGACTTCTTAAGAAAATATTTGTAAAGCGCAAAAATAATCACAGATGTCCTGAAATTGTGATTCTGGCTTGAATATTATTTTCGCGTTGCTCTCGACGTTTCACAATCAGTATTCAAGATGTGCTTCTGAATTAGTGAGAGAGAATTTGGCATATCGTCGTGATTTTACTTGAGATAAATTTGCTTCTCCGAATATATTCTTAAAGAGATCAAAATTAACCGCGTGAAGTGTTAGATACATGTTGCTGGCAAATTAATTGAAGTATAATGAAAGTAGGAACGAATTTATCAATTATTTATTCCGGATATTATTTATTCGTCTATATTTATTTATATAGATTATTAGTTTTATTGACAATTTATATTATGCACAAGCTATAAACCGAACTTGCAAAACTCGAATAAAATATACACATAGGATGTTACGGAAAACAAAACACGATTAATTACTGCCGAGGCAAATACGAAGAGCGCAATACGATATAATTAGACCAGGATACATGGATCATTCGGTAAGATTTCCGATCGGAATGCTTCAGTTATTCTCTAGAAAATACAATCTAGGAAATAATTCCGACCAGAAATCTTTCATTTCTGTAATAGATGTCTGCATACGGTTTGCACGTTTCCATAGATTTCGCTCATTCCTTTCGCTTTATCTTGTATTAACCAGAAAATGAGGATTTAGCGAGAGTTGCCCGCTGTTTAAAGAAATATTATTGGTATTATTACCGTCAATATTTTAAAGTTAAAAATAACACTGGAATAGTACACATACATTTTTGTGTGAATCTGTGTAATCTGATGATATGATTTCTGGCTAATATCACCTCTGAGCGTTCTCTGAGAGGAGCCTAGATGTTAGAGAAAAGTGGGAATGGCAAATCCACGAAAATATGCAAGCCGCGTGCAGACTTGAAATAAACAAGCAAAGGTCAGTGAGCACGTTTGATTCGCGAGAATTCTCAATTGAATGCGCGAGAAGAGAGGCGTCTTCAAGAACGAAGGTAAAATAGTTTGCGTATTACTAAAATATACGTTAATCACAGGTGGGAAGATTTAAACTCGCGAAAAGTCAGTAAAATCCCGCTTGTTACTATAGGAATTAATTGAAATTCTTTTGTAGGCTATTTATACTATACAGGGTATCTCAAACCGTTCTCGTGATGTGCTGGTGAAACTGAATAGAAAAATTATCCATTACCATTTTGCAAAATTCGCGATAAATTAGTGAGAAATTAATTATTTTGTCTGAACGCATGAGGAGGCCGGACTCTATATAAAGAAAAATGGCTTACTTCCGAAGATCTTCTAGCGAACGCATAAACTGATAGCATGTTTCTTTTTGACTCTATGATGCTCATCGTTGCTAGAAGATCTTCAAAAGTACACCATTTTTCTTTATCCGGTTTACCTTTTCTTATGCGTCCATTAGCTCAGGCAAGGCGGATCCTATGGGTCAAGAGACTTGCCCGCTGCAATTCGCTCATTAAAGTTACTGGCCGTCTCAAATTTTTTCTCTGACGAGAAGATTTTCACCGTGGAACCTGGATCGTTGGCTTACTCACGACCCCGAGGACGTTCCCGTGGTGAGCAAAACCACGTTCTAAGCCATATCGCCGTACTTCTTCTAGAAAGGGAAACGAAGGAGGTCTATTTCGAGGACGGTGCCTTGGATGGAGGCCGTATATCTTCCAGCAAGACTCATTTGGTACAGAATTGGACAAACGTCGACATGTTTCTGACCTTCCAATGGTCTCCCTCCGGGCCGTTATCAAGGAAGCGGCCACACACGCGAATTGAAGCTCGCGTTTTAGGGCCAGGATCAAGGCAGGGCAGTTATTTCGAGTGAAAGGATTCATTCATCCCTTAAGTTAATATTATAGCATTTCTTTGTATCTTTCATACTGCCTCTAATAAACGACTTTTCCGATCAATCCGTTTTCATGTTCGGATTCTAACGGTGCTCTCTGTATGTTTTTCGAATATATTTTTATCGTTTAAATATATAGTATGAATAGCCTGCAAAAAAGAATTTCATATTCAAGTAATTCCCACATCTGTAGTAAAATTTTGCCAACTTTTCACAAACTCAAACCTTTCTACTCTCCTTAAAGTAACGTCATATCGTTGGCTTGCGCGCCATTCTTTTTATCCAAGTACACGCAATTGATCCGGTGGACGGATTTTGCGATTGTCGGAAGACCTACACGTTGAGCAACGGGCATACGCTGCGTGCAAGAAACTTAATTGATTAATCCCGATAAGACGGAGAAATCGAGCTACAGCTAAGAATTTTAGTCAAGTAGCAACCTAGTCAATTCATTAACTTTAGAGGACAAGTTAGATTTAAATTACAATTATGGAACTCGCGTGGCTTTAAACGATTGTCGAATTATTATATATATTACGACTAGACATTATATCTCAGCCATTAACAAGGGGGAAGATCTGACGTTGTCATCACGGACTTCTCTTAAATTAGAACATATAGAATCGCTAATTGACAGGCAAGTGAGACGATGCAAGCATTCACAAGAAATTTGCATGCAAAGTTAAGTAGCGCCTCGTTTCACTTGCCTATCAAATTTCCAATATATTGCAGTATTACTGCAACATTTCTGTGGATCATGTAGAATACGGATAAGTGAAATCTGGATTGAAGTTTCAATTGTCTAATATTACCACAGCTAACAAGGAGACGTTAAAACGACTCTTTCGGCCCGTAAACGCCATAGTAACTTATCGATTGATATCATTTCGGTATACCTGTGCTTCAAAGTCGCAATAATTACCAGAAATTGCATTATAATACTGTAGAGACATATTTTTAAGACTATAAGGTTACGAGAAATGCGGAAAAAAGTCGATTTTTTCAACTGTTACATTGGCCTGACTTCTTAATCAGTAATATTACTGCAATATTATATTTCTTTATAGTCTCATCAAAACAGTGCTTGCACACATATATATTTTTATATAAACACATTTATATATATTCGGACATCTTTTTAACGTAATAGTGCTACTTTAACGATGTGCTATTTCAGTATCACTAAAGTCACGTAAAATTTACGTTCCATTTAAGTCATTTCGCGTTTCACGTCATTTCAACGTTGTCTCTTGTTAGCTGGGACATATATCCCCCTGCGTTTCTTCACATCCATTGTCATTTGTATCGATCTAACACGACAATTCGAATAGGCTCCCAGAGCTAATCATTCGAACATAGGAATATACAACACGTGGAAGCTCGTGATACCGAACGGGCGATTCCCGAACAACAGACTAATATTGCTCGTGAAAAGGATGTCACAATTTATTACAATAGTTAACCGTTACGTAATATCACTAGTTATATTAGAAATGATACAATTGTTGAGCTTGGAAGCACTTTTTTATGGTGAAGTCACAGTTACAATCGATTAGATAGATCCTTCCTCGGATCTGTTGCTATAGTGATAATACAAAGAAAACATTTACTATAGTTATTACGCAGAATACATTAATTATATTATCTCATACTGCCAACTGTAAATCATCATATACGTAGTTTCTAGTTCTTAATCAATTACATTAGATAGATATCATCTCTAGATTGTACGAGCATATAGTAGAGAAGCGGTTTTTTTTTGGAACAGTTTAACGAAATCTCCACTCTCGTCCTTCTTTTCTTTTCTCCCGTCCAATTTTACTCTCAAACAGCATCACTGGATTTTACTTTTGAGCACACTCACTCGGGAAGAAAGAATTTATTCTCAGCACAGATTCTCTGACAAATCCAGAACTTTTGCCTCGGAAATATATAATTAGACTATATTTTCCTTCTTTCTATTTTCTCTTTCTTCTACTGCGATTAAATACACTTGAGCGAGCAGGACATGTGATCCTTTGTTGATGTTTCGGCAAGTTTCCGTAAGTATTTATAACAAAATGTTACAATCACGGTCATATATTCTAGTAATTTGCAAAACAAAGGCCGATTAGGAATTATTGTAATCACCATTGTGATAGTAATAGATTTTATAGTATAAGGGAAATAGGAGAAGGTAATTCGAAGCGTTTATTACCGCGTTTTATGTTTTTTAGTTTTAGGACAAAAATATGATGAGCAAACATCAAATTATGTCACGTATAAGGCTCGTTGAATATCGATTAATTAGCAGTTTGAACTATCTACTGCTTGAATGATAAACTGCGTTACCATACTAAGGAAGGTGTTTGCGATATTTAATATAATTATTCAGACTGAGTGCGCATTTAATCTGTCTTACTGATTTTAATCGACTTAAACATTGGATTCTTTTGTCGAAGAATTTCTCTCGTTAGGCGTCTTAATTCAGGATATTTCATTATTTTCGATACTCTTATTTAGGCAATGTAAAAAGAAGAAAAAAATTCCGTCAGTGGATAGTACAAAATCAGCGTTTACAGGATTTATTATGTCGTTGTTTAATTCAAAATGTCGTTACTCTTGGAAAACATTATTGAATTTGTCGCACAAATTGACTAGTCGTATGATATGATATGTAACATGCGAATGACAATTGCAACTTAATTATTTTACCGGCGCGATAATCTCTGCGATAGTTCCGGTGCGCAGAATCGATTTATTTCCAATCAAACAGTAACGAGTATAGACAAGTGTTCCTGTGTTATTATTCTAATTATATCTTAAGGCGACTTTAGAATTATCGAGACAAAAAGAGATTGCAATAAGTGAAATATCATTGTATTGTTAGCGATTTTCCACACTGGAGTGGTAATATCAATAAATGTTAAATATATCAAATTTAAGAGATTCCGCCTTTTTCAGTCATTTCCATCAATGTGACAAGGATTTTAAAACAAATTTTCTAGATTATACAAAAATATTTTATATATAATCATATATATAAAAATGGCTATATATAATTATACAAAGTTATATATGAAATATACATGTCCATGTACAGTTAATACAAAACAATACTGTTGGAAGAAGTTTAGCGAAAAATATCAGGAACAAAATTTCCTTATTTTTTCCATGGAACACAAATCTGCAATAAAAGATTTTCATCGAGAAAAAATCAAGCTAGGCCTTGTTGGGCCCAAAATGGGATCCAAATCTGATGGCCCTCTTAAAACGCTCTACGACTTTTATTTGAAACATTTTTTTCGAAAATATATCGTTATATATAATAACAATATATTTAATATAATATTTATAAATATATATGTATTGTTTATATTGAAAGCCATCTCAGATACTTTGAATGTAAAAAATAAGTTACGCACAAACGATCATCACGGTGATGTTTCATAACCATTTGGACGTCTCGAAGGATTCTATGCCTTCAGCTCTAAGTCGACTGAGAATGGGTCGATATATATCTGGCGTGAAGGGTAGTACCATTCCTCGCTGTTGAATTTCGCCTAAAGAAAATTAAATTACAGCGACAGATAAAATGACAAGAGAAAATTAGATGAATATTCGCGATCGACACGATTAAATTATTGTGCGAATTTTTCTCTTTTCGTATCAGAGAGTGCAACGCCTTGGTTTCTCTTAATTAATAATAATACGAACCATCCAGGATCATTTTAGCCGCAATAGCCGCAGGGTAGCCGACGGTTAGTGCCATCGCAGAATGTCCTGTGGCGTCTCCGTAAAGCACCAAATTGATACCTCTGGATTCTCTTTTGTTATCCTGCCAGCGTATACCTACTTCGTGTCTCAATATCACAAGATCGCGCTCGTTCTTCTCGTAATACAATTTTTTCGACAAATAATGCGTGAGCGTGTCGAGCGGGGTGTTCAGTTTCAGGACATGGTCCTCTTCCAGAAGGCCTAGTTCCTCGATAGCTTCCACTCGCTCCCACGAATTTACCCTTTCCGCCAATTTCTGTTTCAGATTCTCGTAGAAGATGTTGTCGTTCGCTAGGCCGAGCAAGTTGCATACCAGCAATCGCTGAAATTAATTCAAGAAAATCGTCTGTGTTGTGAATTCCATCGAGCGGGAGAGTGTTTTGAAGAGTACCCAGGTGATATCAGGTCCGTTAGGATGTAAACTCGGATGTGGATCAGGGTCGATCAGGCCGAGCAACTGTAGGCCCAATACAGTATCTGAAAATCCCTTAAATCTGAGTGTACCGCGTAACACGGTACTTGCGTTGTGTATACCGTAATATTCTCTGTACATGGTGCTGTCGCGATTTGGGAAACCTTCCAAGGCGAAGCCAGGAAGAAAGTCCAACTCCTGTACAGCGGACATGAGATCGCCACCCCCGGCGATCTCTACTTCCTATAACGAAGATAATATACAATTCATCTCGAGTGAAAAATCATTCAACAACACACCTGGCCTTCGTGAAGATATTTTGCTGGTGACAAAGTGTTGAGCAATGCACCTCGCGGGGACCAACTAAATTTGTATCTCAGAGGATTACAGGAAGATTCCGGCGCAGGCAGACCGCCGCACCACGAGATAAACGATTCTATCCTGCCACCCGCCTGCCTCACGTCGTCGAAACATTCGAGCGCTAGGAGATGATCGATCCCCGGATCCAGACCGATTTCGTTTAATACAGTAACACCAGCTTCCTGTGCTCTACATTAAAAGAAGAATAACGTGTGTAATAATACAGTTTGGCAAGAATTTCATCGGTTCCGATAGTTACTCTTGATGCAACGCCTTGACGTTGTCATTCATGTAACTGGCCGTCACTAGATGAGTGTGGGTCTCGATGCAAGCTTTGGCGATGACGTGGTGCAGCGAGTACGGCAGTAGAGACACGACCACGTTCGCCGATTTCACGACATCGTGCAACGTGTCTGAACGATCCAGCACGTTCAGGTAGACCGGTTCCACGCCTGGGAATCGATTGGCCAGTGCGTCCGCTTCGTCCTTCAATTGCGACGCTACCAGCAGTTTTACATCTTTGTCCCTGTGCAAGTACTCGACCAAGGGTGCGGAAACGTATCCCGCACCGAGAACGACGACCTGTTGACGCATCGTATAATTCTCGGTTAAATCTTTTCCACTAACACCATATGAATAATGTGATCGTTATCCTAGTGAGAAATTTTCTTTACTCAATCTTGATGGAAATATCAGGTTGGAAGGGAAGTAATTTTTAGCTCAAAATTCGAGGAAGTTTATTTATATTTAAAAACAACTTCAGTCGTTGTTCTCTATCATGTTTTGCCGTCTTTCGGGCATAATTCCTCGCGCGTAAAACGGTTATAAAATGTTACCTAGGAAGCAAGTGAATACATGGATTGATTTCGTGCAATAATTTAATACAATTTAAATATACCAAAAGAGGATTATGCGTGATGAAAATTTGGAAAACGAAATATTTCTTAATTGCAGAATGTTTCTTAAATTGTGAAGCATGAGTGGTTCTTCATGAAACTTTGTATAGGTGGAAAAAAAAAGAGATGCGAAGCCAACGAGCGAAAGGGGCCGTTTTACCGTTTTGCTCTGCGGCTCCCCGTTGTCAGCCTTGTGTTTGCTGCGTTGGTTCAGTTGCCTGAGTTCTTGGATGTACTCGAAATTAGGCGTCAGGTTTCCATTGGAGGCAATAATGGCACCGTGCACAGCAGGATTGAAACAATGTTCCTCAAGCGGCTTCTTAGCATCCGATCGTATAATGTCCAAAGCATACGGATACAGAAGATTACCGAAGAAATCCGTCGATTCCTTTGGCAGTTGCGTGGGCATATTATCGATCGAACAAACTAGCACTCCGGGGCCCTTAAAGGACTTTGTGTCCTTATTGCGATCGGCGTCGTACAAGCAAAATGGTGTGTCGATCGTTGTGCACTCGTTCATAAATCTTGCATGCAAAAATGACAGTCAATGATTATATTAATCTGATGAATTAATGATCAATTCGAAGCATTAAACGCACATACTCGATGCTACCGCCCGGATCTGCGGATATGTCGCAGATAGCGAGCATTCTGTGCGGCAGGGCAGGCGCACCGACGCTTATCGGTAACCATGGTGTGTGAGCGGGTCTCAGCAAGTACTTGGCATCTGGTATCGTCAACAGCTTTGGCGAATCCACCGCCCAATATATACCGTTGATGATCACCGAAGCGTACGGTGCAATTTTCTTGCTGAAAGTGGAAATGTACAATTCCGGGTGCTTCTCGTACTCTTCGGGGTCGAAACCGCCGCCCTCCTTCTTCTCCAGATGATGCCTGCGTCGCACCTCGCAACCGTATATTTTTGTAGTATCTGCGGCAAAACAAACGCGGATAAACGATATCGTGAGATATTTTTGTTTGCATTGCGTCGACGAAGTTTGCGAGTCTAGTGGCGCCTTGCTTTTATCAATTAAAAATACTGATAACGCGCTAGTCGCGCGAGAATGACTTTCGGAATTATATCCATAATTGAGGCAATCGGCAAGAACGATAAGTTCATTCACGGTAACGTAAATCTAATTAACGGCATTGATGGGGCGCGCTTCTTTCGCGTATAGACGAAAAGGTTCCATTACCGCCGTGCTCGGCGACTTTTCGCAGCATCTCCGGCGGCACGTATTCATGGGGGAGCTCTTGGAAGACTTCCTGTCCGCCCTGACTCACATTACCGCTGCCCGTGAAAACAAAGGTCAACGGACCGATTGACTTGGGCATAGCGCCTAACGCGATCTCATATCCAGCGCCGCGAATTGCTTGACGCGCCATTGCCGAGTCTCGATAGTTGTGTGCCGGTCCGATGTGCTAAAGGCGATAAATCTGCGGTTAGTTGAATCGATCATTTTTCCCAAACTCTGATCGATTAATGCGCAATGCCGGCCTTCTGAGTTAATAACGTTTCGTACGCAGGTAATGAGAAACGATGGCGTACCATAAAGGGTGTATGATGGCCCAGAGCTAGCAGCCTGAGGCCTAAGCCGTGCAGTATGTTCACCATGCCGGCCACCCCGGCGTATTTGCCAAAAGCCACCACTCTTTGGCCGTTGGCATCGGTGAGCTTCTCGTAATCCAGCAGGCGTATGTTCTTCTCCAGGATAGCGTCCAAGAGGGCCATATTGCTCTCCTGCGCCTTGATGGTGTGCGAGAAGAGGCAATAGGTTTTGTTGGGAATCAGCTGGTCCACCGGCACCTGTTTCACCCCGAAAATCACCGAGGCCGAGCTAATGTCCTCCTGCAGAAGCGCGCCAGCAGCCTGGTAGGCTTGCGCCGGATACGCTCTCCGGTTGCTCGGCTGCACGATCACCTTCACACCCGAACGGACGAGACGGCGTACATTCGCCGGGGCTAACGGCGCCCTCCTCTCCCACACCGACTGGTCCTCCCGCCTTATCGCTATCACTTTGCCTTTAAGATTCTACAAAAGTCCCGTAAAAATCTTTCTTTATCGCGATGTCTCCTTTTTCTAGTCGTTCTCCGCAGCAATATATTGCGTTACATTGTTAAGTGAACTAACGTTACTACCGAGACGATGATTCATTTCCGAAGAAGAAGCGATACTTCTAGTAGCGAGAATCTTTGTCTGTGAAGAATAATCAATATATGCTTACACTGATGTATCTGGCATCGGCACGAGTTGCGGTGGCCAACAGAAGACGCGATTCACGTCCAACGCTGATCAATCCCGACATCGTTAGTGACGAATCAGCGATAGTATGATTGAGAGAAAGCGGAAAAATTCAGCATGAAATTCGATCGATCGCGTTAATAAAATGTCTGTGTTTTGAACCAAGTCCGCCGTATTACTAACACGATGTCGCTGGCGCTAGCTAGCGCTAGTCGGTATCAGAAAGTATTACAAAATCAGTGATAAACTCTTATCAGCATTGTGATGACATTTGACCGTAAGCCGGGTTATATGAGAAAAAAAACGTCGAAAGAATTCTTCCCCTCGCTTCGTCTAGGTGATAAACGAAACACGTTGTTGCGCTAACAATAAGCAATCACGTGCGTTGAGGGATAATTAAATAATTGAAATAATTAATCAATTTAGCGAAACATATATATTAGTTAAAATTAGTGGTTACAAGAAGCGTCTTTTATAATACATATTATTAGTGTTTATTGAATCATCAGTTGGATTGCGCTTTGATCGACAAATACATCTTATTCTTGATAGTTTGCTTAGTCGGATTGATCTTTTTCAATATCTGAGTCATGATGTTGACCAGCTGTTCGGATGTAAGACCAGTCTTCTTGGATTTGAATTTTTGCAGTAGCTCGGTTGTCGTCATGGGTTTACGCATCAGGTATCGTCGCACCGCATCTTCCGTAATGCCCGATTCGCTGTAAAATACAGATCAATTGATATTTCGATGTTAAACTGAGAGAGATTTCAACGAGACTGTACCTTGCTCCTGGTATGTACGATGTCGGAACTAAATTAAAATTGTCCAACTTTAATTTCTTCGCTTGCGACAAATCCGGCGAGCCAGTTTGTTTTCTCTTTAGAGGATCAGACGCGGCTGGTGTTGGAGTCGCAGATCTCGAACTGTGCGCGCTATTCGGCTTTTTATTGTCCTTCTCTTTCAGTGTCGTATCGGAATCCGATTCCGAGTCGCTGGAGAAATCACTGGAGGAATCCTTTCCCGATGATGATTTCTTCAGGTCCTTCTTCTTCGCCTTCTTCTTTTTCTTTTTATCTTTCCTTTTATCGGATTCTTTACCAAGCTTGTCTTTATCCTGAAACAAAGGTACGTCTGTGTAAGCGCGACGAAATCATCGAGTAGACAAATTTCGACATTATTAATATCACGACGATGTACGTAACTACCTTATCGTCCTTTTCCTTTCCTTCCTCGTCGTCGTCTTTATCTTCTTCACCCTCTTTTTTATCTGTTTGCTCCTCATCATCTTCCTCTTCATCGGACGCGAGTAATTTCCTCAAAGCATCTTCTTCCGCGACGGACTTGATCTCTTTCTGTTGCTCCAATTCCGATTCAGAATCAGAAGAGTCGGAAATGTAATCGCACTCCCGTCCCTCCTCATCGCCATCATCACTTTCTTCAAACGCCTCATCATCCGAAGCATTCTTCTTTTTTTTCTTCTTTTGAACTGTTTGACCTTTCATTCATCACAAATTAATGTCTTGAATTGAATTTCAAAAACAACGAGCTCGCTTCCTACCTTTGCCCTTCTTCTTTTTCGCATCATCCTCATCATCGGATCCTTTTTTATTTTCCTCTTCATTACTGCCCGACTCATCGTCGTCACTATCCATCCAATCGTCCATTTCGGATATTTTTAATTCTTTTTCCTTCTTACTCGGTCTCTTACTTTTGCCACTTTCCACCAGTTCATCATCATCCCCACCATCCTCATCATTCCTTAACCGCTTGCGTAACATTAGCGAGAAATAATTCATCACTCTATTCCTACGGCTGAACTCCTGCTCAGCCTCTTCGGCGCTGAGAGCCTTGTATCTCTGAATTGGCTGAAAGTTATACCTACATGCGGAGGTCAAGTCAGTTTCGTACAACTATTCTTACCTTATCAATCGAATAAGTCTAAGGCACTGACCATTCGTGTAATGGGAAGGCTTCTATAACACCGTCAGTAGCGTGTGTAAAAACATAATACGCTGCATTTTCACTGATTCCACCCTCTCTTATACCTTTGAACTTCTTCCCAGTCTTTCCTCCCGCCTTTAAGATCCACGGCTGATCTTCCGGCTTATATTTTCGACTGGTAATTCCAAACTTCTTCCTTCTGGCTTCTTCTCTGGCATCGCGTCCAAATTCGGACCCAGCACCGAATTTCGGTATTTCCTCTTCCATACCCTTGTACTCCTTCATATTGTTCTCCCGCTCCATTTTCACCTGTGTCCATTTAGAGAAATCTACGTCCAGTGTCGCGTTGAATCTCATCACGTTGTGCTTCTTCTTGCTATTTCTGCGCAAAATAATTCCCAATTAAAATTGATTTTAACGGTAAGTGTGGAAAAAAAAATTCTTGGGAACAAAGATCAAGCTGGACAAATAATATTCTTTGTTACTCCTCTGTGAACTGAATATCATACTTCAATCAAATACTCCATGTAAGCATATGATACAAACTTTGGTACTTTGATACTGAATTCCTGCACAGACGGAGCCGCAGGCTAAAAGGGTGAAATGTATAATTATCACAAAATGATTGAAATTCATCGATAACCTAGATTCATCGATAACCTAGTTGCAATAACCTCTAATTATTGCAGTTATTACCTTGAGAACAGTACTCGAGGAATTCATAATTAATACCAATCTTTACCAACGCGCTTTAAAAGGATGTGCTTTTAATTTGTTAATAAGAGTTGAACGAAGCTCGATACTGCTCTCATCACAGGCAGCCAACCTGGCAACACCACAAATGTTCAGTATTTATGTTCAGTATTATGTATTTAAAGACTTTGGTCGGTGGTGGCGTTGAAAAACTGGAGGATGTGAATTTCAGCGGAAAAAGCAATTAGTGAGCAATTACGTTGACAAATTATTCGACCGTTAGCTAAGAATGTAACCAAGCGTGAGGCTCGCAGAATATGAGCGTCCAAATCGAACGCACCTATTGGGTTCTCTGCAAGTAGTAGGACTCGACGTTAAGTTAAACGACAAGTTAAACCAAATTACGACAGCACCAGCGGCGAACGTGGAACTAGAAAGACCCAATGCGTACCACTGTCGCTCTTCAAGAGCACGTCAGGACCATTGCTTTATCGACAAGAATCTGAGATGGTAGATTGCAGCCGATGGTGCGTTGTGCTTCAAAATTTAGTAACAATCAACGAGGAAGAAAACCTTGCTAAGTGCCTCGTACTACAGTAGATACTACAACGTGCATTATAAGCATGGCGCATCTATTGCTCTCATCGGCTAATAAATTGGAGAGACTGATCCTGAAATCCGCACAAAAAGGTCGCTTCGACACGTTTCAGGTACTCTAACCTATCACTTTTTTTTTTCCTCCTTGTTTGTACAATATATCGTCGTTGTGGCGTCATGCGCTCGATCGCGACGTTCCTGTGCGAAGTATCGTCATAATTTAAATAGCGTGATTAAACACGCGTTGTACTTTACTGATGTAACGATTACTTACTTTGCATTCATTTATTACTTCACATTATCTTGATCATTTGCTAACAGTCGAATGTAAAGCCTACATAAGTTTTATAACTGTAGATCTAGTAGATAAATCGAGGTGTACTCTTTTAGCTGAAGCGGCATTTAACTTTACTCAAAAATGGTACAGTGCTATCTACAATTGAACAATTGCAGCAGAAGTGGAGATCATTTTGTAAACAGCCGCCTAAGGGATTTGAAAAATTTTACAAACCAGGTTACATCATAAAACCCTTTTACTCATATAACGCAATTTGTATGGAGTTCTTAAGAATTTATACAACTGATATGTTACACAGGCGGGGCTAAAAATGCTGAAAATGTTGGTAAAAAGGCAGAAGAAGCGTCAAGTAAAACTGCACAGAAACCTTCATCATCTAGCTCTTCGTCCAGCTCCAAGGATTCAGGTTTTCGGTGGGTATTTAAAGTCTTTGGAGACAGCACCCAACATGGATCTAAAGGATTTGAAGGTGGTGACAAGGATAGAACATTTATGATTTTGGGCGCAATTGGATTATCTGGTCTTATCGTATATATACTTGCGCAGGATTTTAATCAAAAAGAAATCACATGGAGAGAATTTATATACAAGTGAGTGTACAACATCAAATAATTATGTTAATATGTCCTTCGATAAAACAAGATATTTCTCTTTTTTTCAATCAGTTATTTAGGCAAGGGTCTTGTTGAGAAATTAGAAGTGGTAAATAAGAAATGGGTGCGCGTAAGACTCATGCCTGGGCATACTGTTGACGGCTTGGTATGTTTTTCTCAAATATAAAAGGTTTGCTTATTTCTGAATTATATTTTTGCATGTTGATACATTTTACAGGATACACTATGGTTTAATATTGGTAGTACGGATACTTTCGAAAGGAATCTGGAAAATGCGCAAGTCGAATTAAATATTGGGCCTGAGAATTATATTCCTGTGGTTTACAAAAATGAGGTAGAAAGTGTAAACTTATTGTCATATCTACCGCAGATTTTGATGTGGGGTATGTACAAGCGATTCATTTTGCATACACAATTTGCAATTCTCTAAAATATACATTTCCAGGTTTCCTTATTTTCCTAATTCGAAGATCTGCTGAAGCGATGACCGGTAAAGGAGGTAAAAGGGGCGGACTGTTTGGTCAAGTAATGGAATCGACTGCAAAGCTGATCAATTCAAAAGACATTGGCGTACGATTCAAGTGTGTGATCCTGTATTTTGTTAAATATATGTGACAAATCGCATCTTGATACATCTTGCGTTACATTAGGGACGTGGCTGGATGTGAGGAAGCTAAGATAGAAATTATGGAGTTTGTAAATTTCCTGAAGAACCCACAGCAATATATAGATCTTGGGGCTAAGATACCAAAAGGCGCTATGTTAACAGGTATGATCAAGCTGGAGATATTAGCGAATTAGCGATTGAAAATTGCAACGCATTATTACATTTTGCAGGGCCTCCTGGTACTGGTAAAACATTGTTGGCCAAAGCTACAGCCGGTGAAGCGAATGTACCCTTCATCACAGTGTCGGGTTCTGAATTTTTGGAAATGTTCGTGGGTGTCGGTCCCTCTAGGGTGCGCGATATGTTCTCTATGGCACGAAAGCATGCACCGTGTATATTATTTATTGATGAAATCGATGCGGTAGGTAGGAAGAGAGGAGGTCGAAACTTCGCGGGACATTCGGAACAGGAAAATACCTTGAACCAGCTCTTAGTAGAAATGGATGGTATGTTATTCAGAGATTTTTCACGCGGCAATTTGTGCAACATGATTTTCCATGCTCGTTGTTCTTTTTCAACAGGATTCAACACCACAACCAACGTGGTCGTTTTAGCTGCGACTAATAGGGTAGATATCTTGGACAAAGCGTTGTTGAGACCGGGAAGATTTGACAGACAGATATTTGTACCTGCGCCAGATATTAAAGGTCGAGCATCTATCTTCAAAGTGCATTTATTTCCTTTGAAAACGACGTTAGATAAGGATCAGTTGGCGAGAAAGATGGCTTCCTTGACACCTGGATTCACTGGTATTTAGAATTTCGCTAATAATCTCATACAATTATTTTCCTTGCAATCTAAGTGTAGAAGTATATTATATAGAGATTTTTTCTAGGAGCTGATATTGCGAACGTTTGCAACGAAGCAGCTCTGATAGCGGCTAGGGACTTGAATGACAACATTCAACTGAAGAACTTTGAACAAGCTATTGAGAGAGTAGTCGCCGGCATGGAGAAAAAGACCAACGTATTGCAGCCTGAGGAAAAGAAGACAGTCGCGTACCATGAAGCTGGTCACGCAGTAGCTGGCTGGTTCCTGGAGTACGCGGATCCGCTTCTGAAGGTACGCGGTGTCATCTTCTCTAGTTAGTCACCATTTCTCATCTTAGACTTCTGCCATCTTGTTTAGGTGTCCATTATCCCACGCGGGAAAGGATTAGGATACGCGCAATATTTACCTCGCGAGCAGTATCTTTACACGAAGGAACAGTTATTCGACCGAATGTGTATGACGCTCGGTGGACGAGCGTCTGAGGAGATATTTTTCGGCCGTATAACTACGGGTGCCCAAGATGATTTACAGAAGGTACGTTTTTCTTGTCTTTTTTTTGCAGAATTCTTTAATATGTGCTATTCCCAAAGATCACAGAAATCGCGTACGCACAAATCACGCAGTTCGGTATGAATGACAAGGTCGGAAATGTCAGTTTTCAAATGCCGAAGCCGGGGGATATGGTTTTAGACAAGCCGTACTCTGAGTACACCGCGCAACTTATCGACAATGAGGTCCGTCAGCTGATTGATAGCGCGCATAAGCGAACGCGTACTCTTCTGTCTGAGCATAAAGATGATGTAATCAAGGTATAATTGAATAACCGAATTCTATAAAATCGCCGAGTCCTTTTCGGTGCGAAACTGTGTCTTAATTTCAGGTCGCCGAGCGATTACTGAAGCAGGAGATTTTAAGTAGAGACGATATGATCGAATTACTCGGGGCTCGACCATTCCGCGAGAAATCTACGTACGAAGAGTTCGTCGAAGGTACTGGCTCCTTTGAGGAGGACACTACGTTACCGGAAGGATTGAAGGAATGGAATAAGCCACGGGAGGATGACTCTGAGGATGGTAACAGGAAGGAATCTGGCGAGTCTCAGCCTTCCAAATTAACCTCCGACGATAAGCAACAGCCGCAGCAACGATTGTAATTGTAATATTTTAGTGTTTCAAAGTACTTTGTATAATAGTTCGAAATACATTATTACAATAAGTCACCAGTTCAACGTATTCAGCTGCATCAGCTGTTGTAACCGTCGATAAGATTGTCACTTATCGTAACACTTACGTAATAAAATCTGAACGGCGCGATTCATTCACAGCTAAGAATAGTATTGTACGAATTTTGATCCCTTGCTCTGTGTAACAATAAAACAGCCGACATTTGGTCAAGATGTTTCAATATGTGATTATATCGAAGAGACACGTTTTTCTTCAATATGATTTTGCATCTCATTCTTTTAGGGCCTGATTAAGGCCCTTTGCGCATGAAAATGCATGAGGTTGCAGTCATAAAATCTGATGTCCATACTTGGGAGCACACATGGGAACTCACTTTCTAGTGATTTTAGATGCGCTGGTAGTTTTTGCTTTATATACTGCTCTTACCACCAGCGCGACTGGCTTTTCCGTCAAGGTGCGAATTCTCCCTTACTGTTAATCTATGTTAAGAAATTCATCAATCGGCAACTGTTCACGTTCGACTGGTGGTCAATTTCTGAGCAAAAAGATATTAAAAATTTATTTAATTTTTTGCTCAAAAATATCCTTCATTTTCTGCATTTATACAATAAAGAAATATAAATATTTCTTTGCAATGCTGAATCAATACTCCCAGTAATTCTATACGATTTAGCCTTGTTCTTATAAAATGAATGAATGTTATTTAATCTGCTTTAATAATTATTCTTTCTGTAAATGCTGCCTTAACAAGAGACTATTTTTGAGATATTTCTCCGAATTTTTTTCCAAAAAGTAGCCGAGTAATAATCGCAAAATGGTAGGTAGGGGGGGATTCAATCTGCACACATTGGTATGTTAATTATCAGACAAGTTATTTACTGGAATAGGTGTGAAATAAATTGTTGTAAGTATTTAAGGTTTAGTTTATTGATAAGAAACATGTCACACAGTAACACGACTGGCTTTTGCATTACATTACTGGGTACGAATTAATTTACGTCTGTTGCTTATTGCACATCGCTGTAAATATGTAAAATTGCTTTCGTCGACGCCACGACGATGAGATGTCGCGGCCTGCGCTAGGAAAAATTTGTAAAAGATACCCGCCTCTATTCGTGTTTCATTCGTACGTGCGTTGGTCGTGAATGTGGTCACCCGTAAAATACGCCGAGGATCTTTCAATCCTACTTGAGTCCTGTGGTGTCTGAGCGCGCTCAACTGGACGTGCGAAAGATCTGATCCTGGTGATTCGGCCAGGAACAATCGTCGCAATAGATGGTGTATCGTCTCTAGTCCGAGAGAACAGCCTTCTATAGAATGTCCGAAGGTACAACCCGAATTTTTCGGATAGTATTGCGCGATTTTCCTTGCGCCGGATAGATTTTAACGTCGCGTTAGGATCCAATCTTTCTACGTGTCGAATCGCTCGTTAAATACACGTTTTCTCGAAGAATGATCGCTCTACATTGACCCCGCTTATAGATATACCGGCGATGTGCACTTGATTGGAGAAACGGTTTAGTTGGGAGCGCATCTTTTCACATTTTGCCTCTTGTTACAAAAATCGATTACTATGCAATCGGTAGTTTGCTACGCTAGCATCTTCAACCGTTTTGCAATCAAGTCTACGATAAGTTTCAAAATAATTTGAACGCTTCCCTTTACATTTCGAAAATGTCAATGAGAAAACTTATTTCTGGAAAATGGGTTCTCTCATCGATAACGTTCCAAGCTAACGTAACAAACAAAAGTGTTCAAATCGTTTTGAAATTTACTGCACAGATGCGACGACACATTGTTATAAATGACTAACAAAGTTTGGTTTTACATTAAAAAGTTACGCGCGACATGTAATAGTACATATGTCTAGTTGAAATTTGGTGTTACATTGTTTCAAAATTGGCAAATTTACCTTTATCACCGTTCCTCCTCCACATGCAAGAATTCTTAGCGGTAGTCCGCGGAGTTTACACACGCGTTCAAATCGGACTGAGATAAAGTTATCACATGCTGAATCAATTTTGACGTTACATTCCGCAGGACAGCGTGCCGATAACCAAAATCACCTGAGAAATTCATATTATTCTCGTAATATATTGATTTGAATGAATGAAAGTTCCTCTCTGATCGTCGTTTGCAGCGTGTCTTATCTTGGAAGAACGTTTGATTTATATTTATTTATTCTAACGCTGCGGATAACGTTCTTTATTGCGAAATATCATAAGTATATGCAGGTGTGCATATTACAATCATTTTCCTTTCTTCATTTCTCCGAGCGATACTCAAGGATCGTCGCAGTGATCGTCAGAGAAATATTTCTCCGATATTCACGTGTAATTTAAATATAAATAAACCCACAAGGTTGCGAGATATGAAGTTTTCTCTTGCAACGAATTTTCCTTTCAAGTAATATCATGTAAATAAAACAAGTTTGTGTGCGTTTGTACCTAGATGGACAGAAGTGCTTAGTATACAAATATTTAATGTACACTTTGTCATGCTATTGCACATGTTTAAAATATGTTTATTTTAAGAAATACTCAGGCCAGCATCAAACTATTGATTTCTCATTACAACAATAATTTTGGGTTAATTGTGTTCTTTTTCGAGCTCTTTTATGAGCAGCAATACTTATGAGAATATCATTGCAATATTCATAGCATCAGATCATCTTCTTCTCTTATACATACTGACAAAATGTTTGTTGGATGATTTTAACGTACTTATGTCACGATGCAGACCATTTGCCAATTGTGTTTGCGCGAATTGATAAATTTTCCATTGCCAATACAATATTGTTGCGTGAGTAACACAAATTTCTGATTTCTTCGACGATAACGCGATCACAATGGAAATTTCTTCGTTGTCTCTGCCATCGTGTGCAGCGAAACTGTTTCACATTTCGAAGAAATATCTTAGTAGATTATGAAAAAAACAAACCTATAGTATTCTTAATCGTTTTCAGTCTCATTCGTTAAGTGATGATTTTTTTTATACGCCGGCGTGATCAGCAGCGTGAGGATAAGTGAATCTCATAAATCGGTTAACCGTCGTGGTGATACAAGCTACACTGCGATACGGATTTTTGTTTATATCTGGCTACAAATCAGTAAATGACTCCTTTCCCTTTCTTCTCGTGTCTTTTTTGCACAACATACAATTTGGCACCTACATAGGATGGCTCCAAAGTAGCTTGTCACATTCTGAGTTTCGATTTCAAGTCGGATAAAACGATGAATGAACTTGCGGTATTACGTTGATTAATTCGTTCGTACGGTAATAATGAAACGTTTATTTTATATTTCATCGGGATTTGTAGGTGAGAGATACGTATTTATTTTCCTATTTTCCTCCTTTTTCTCTATAAGTTATTTCGAAGCTCATTTTCTGTTACAAAAAGACCCCATCGACGCCATCGACGCACAATCGTGACAGAGTGAACCATTTATTTCTTCGTTCCAATTTAGCGCGTTGTAAATTTGATTCGTTCGTCTGCCGTTCGTACGAAAGGAAAAGATCCTCGCGAGTTTCTGATCAGGATATATACACATGTATATCGCGATTCCGTCCGTTCGCTTCCAATTACTCCTCTTTCATTTTTTTTTGCGTTTTTTTCTCCCCTAAATCTTTGATCCCAAGACAGTGTTGATCTGAAATGGCAATCTTCCCAGCGTTTCTACAAAACTATATATGATTTATCGAGTAAATATCTATAGATTTCGAAAGTACCACTTAACTTAGCGCTAAGTCACTAATCAAATATATCGTACAATCACTAAATTATTGCTTTGTCGTACCTTGTATCACACTNCCCTATGTTTCCTTCCCCATTTTTCTCTGCCCCCCCCCCCCTGCCTCTTTCTCTATCTTTCTCTTTTGTTCTTTCCCTGCATTCTTCCTTGTTTCGTTTCTCAAAAAGCCAGGTTTCGTGGTGATCATGCCTGCTTCTCCGCGAACTTGTGTGTATATGTATAGCTGTGTGCGCAAGATGATTACACGTATATCTTCTTAAAACATTAACTACAGCAACATTTCTTCAAACTTTCCCGTCCTCTCCCACTTTCTCTCTTTCTCTCTCTCTCTCTCTTTCCCTGTAATTAATACAATAATTCTGGAAATGTATGCATTAATCGCAGGAAACACTCGCGAAGTACCTTTGCTTCGTCTTACGCTCTGGCCGCAAACATTAAAATGAAAACGACAGATGCATTCGTTATCGTATTGATATCGCGAAAAATTGCAGGTAAAGTTTCATTCACAAGAAAAACAGCTCCGATCGACTTGACCATCGTTATCATGAATAACATTACACAGAAAAATTTCGAAAAAAATGTCGCTCATTGTTTTTTATTGAAAAGTTATTTAGGAAAAGAAATTTTAAGAATTAGGTGGAATTTTCTGACAATGTATATAAATAAATAAACAAGTAAATGGAGGAAAGAAAATCTTTACATTTGTCACGCAACACTTGCATATACGATTATCATCATAAGAGTCTCTCTCTCGCCGATTCTTTCCTAATATTATCAATTATTTTTAGCACATAATAGTAGACTAATCAATTTAGTAAGGCAGAGAAACTATTTAATTGATTAATCTAAGAAAAATAGATGGTTACATATGAAGTTTATAAATTCATGTAGTAACATATTTTTCTCACCAAATATAGATCTTTCGTCTTTCCGAGTCGATGAGTCTCTACCATGTACTAATGTTGAAAATTTTAACTAAAAGATCAATAAAAATATTTACACAAGATTCTAAAATTTGTTATTCATATATTTATATATTTCGCCTTCCAGAATAATTTCCGTGGAGATGTTAATTTGGAGAGATGTTAATATACTGGATGAAAAGGATTGTCGGATCAAACGCGCTCGCTGATATGGTCAACTTTATTTGTTAACAACTTTTTAATAAATAATAAACAACGACCAAAATCTTTTGAATGTTGCCGAGGTGATAATGATCTTAATGATATATGGTCAAGTCGATCGGAGCTACTTCCTCTATTGCGAACATTTATCAAATTACATTTTATCACTTATTGAAACACAATGAAAATATTGTGTCAGTCTTCCAAGATGATGATGCAAACGGCAAGAATATCCAACTATAATCGTCGTTATCAAATTGGAAATGGACAAGAATAGTTTTAGATTTGGATGTGGTTCCACCGATTAACACATACATGCACATACATGTATATACGTACATACATA